TCCGAGTGCTCTCTTCTGTCCCACTCATCTGTCTAATCTTTGCCAATGCTACACTGTCTTGATTGCTGTAGCTTTATAGGAGGGCTTGAAGTTGGATACTGTCAGTCTTCAAATTTATTCTTCTCCTTGAATATTATGTTGGTTATTCTGTGTCTTTTACCTCTCCAGGAAAGAATCAGTTAGTTGATTGGTGGGATATTTTTTTAAAAATAATTGGAGGAGAAACTATGTCTATCTGACTCTGGTAACAGAGCAGCTTTACTTACTTATTTAGCTGTTCTGAGTCTTCATTGCGTCATGCTGGGCCTTTCATTGCGGCGCAGGGACCCTGGTTATGGTATGTGGGCTGGCTTAGTTGCCCCCCCACATGTGAGTTCTTAGTTCCCTGACCGAGTATTGAACCCACATCCCTGGCATTAAGAGGTGGGTTTGTAACCACTGGACCAGCAGGGAAGTCCCAGTTGGGGGTTTTTGATTAGAATTGTATTGAATCTACTGAGATCAAGTTGGGAAAAACACATTGTGACAGTATTGAGTCTTCTGATCCATGAACATAGACTCTCTCTCCATTGATTTAGGTCTTTTGATTTCTTTCATCACAGTTTTGCAGTTTTTATTTTTCTTCTTCATATAGATCTTATATATGTTTTGTTAGATTTTTACCTGGGTATTTATTTATTTTGGGGGGTGCTAATGTAAATGCTATTTATTGTGTTTTAAATTTCAAATTTCAAATAGTTCATTGCTAGTATATAGGAAAGCAACTAACTTTTGTATATTAACCTTGTATCCTGCAGCCTTGCTATAATTGATTATTAGTTCCAAGAGTGTCTTTCTTTTTCTTCTAGGCTAATTCTTTTGGGTTTTGTACATATATAAGTGTGTCATCTGCAAACGAAAACAATTGTATTTCTTCTTCCTCAATCTGTAAACCTTTTATTTCCTTTACTTGTCTTACTGCATTAACTAGTTCTTCCAGTATAATATTGAAAAGAAGTGATGAGAAGGATTTAAAGTTCTTCCAGTATAATATTGAAAAGAAGTGATGAGAAGGACTTAACATTTGCTCAAATGTGAACACTGACATACATCTTCCCCTCCCCCATCTCTGTCCTTGGCAGACTCACCACAACCTCAGGGCTTTGCTGGGATGTCACCGTCTCAGACTTTTCCTGACCACTATTTACAATGGCAGCCTCACCGAGACTCACTATTCTTTTTCCTGGCTTTATTTTTCTCTACAGCAGCTGCCACCAGCTAATATACTAGACATCTCTTTGTTGTGTCTATTGTCTGCTCCCCCTCCCTTCACTAGAATGTAAAGTCTACAAGGGCAGGGATTCCTGTCTGTTTCATTCACCAGGTTTCCGTCAGTACCTGGTGCATAGTGGGTACTCAGTAGTTGTTAAAATGGATTAATAAATCATGGTATATATGTGTTCTAGATTAGATGAAGTGTATTTTTTTTTTTTTTCTGCTTCCAGAGGTAATTATTTTTCTGATGTACATGCTTCCCCTGGCTGTTACATCCCCTCTCCCCCTTTTGGCAAAGTGATTGAGGAGGCCTTACAAATAGTTGAGAAAAGAAAAGAAGTGAAAGGCAAAGGAGAAAAGGAAAGATTTACCCATCTGAATGCAGAGTTCCAAAAAATAGCAAGAAGAGATAAGAAAGCCTTCCTCAGTGAACAATGGAAAGAAATAAAGGAAAACAATAGAATGGGAAAGACTAGAGATCTCTTCAAGAAAATTAGAGATACCAAGGGAACATTTCATATAAAGATGGGAAAAAAAATGGGCAAAATAAAGGACAGAAACACTCTAACAGAAGCAGAAGATATTAATAAGAGGTGGCAAGAATCCACAGAAGAACTATACAAAAAAGATCTTCACTATCCAAATAATCATGATGGTGTGATCACTCACCTAGAGCCAGACATCCTGGAGTGTGAAGTCAAGCGGGCCTTAGGAAGCATCACTATGAACAAAGCTAGTGGAGATGATGGATTTCCAGCCGAGCTATTTCAGATCCCAAAAGAGGATGCTGTTGCACTCAATATGCCAGCAGATTTGGAAAACTCAGCCGTGGCTACAGGACTGGAAAAGGTCAGTTTTCATTCCAATCCCCCAAAAGGGCAAAGAATGCCAAAGAATGTTCAAACTACCACACAATTGCACTCATTTCATATGCTAGCAAAGTAATGCTCAAAATCCTTCAAGCTAGGCTTCAGCAGTGTATGAACTGAGAAATTCCAGATGTACAAGCTGGATTTAGAAAAAGCAGAGGAGCCAAAGATCAAATTGCCAACATCCACTGGATAATAGAAAAAGCAAGGTTCCAGAAAAAACATTTACTTCTGCTTCATTGACTATGCTAAAGCCTTTGTGTGGATCACAACAAACTGTGGAAGTCTTAAAGAGATGGGAGTACCAAACCACCTTAGCTGTCTCTTGCAAAACCTGTATGCAGGTCAAAAAGCAACAGTTAGAAATGAACATGCAACAACAGACTGATTGATAATTGGGAAAGGAGTACATCAAGGCTGTATATAGTCAACCTGCTTATTTAACTTATATACAGAGTACATCATGCGAAATGCTGGGTTGGATGAAGCACAAGCTGGAGTCAAGTTTCCCAGGAGAAATATCAATAACCTCAGATATGCAGATGACACCATGTTTATAACAGAAAGCGAAGAGGAACTAAAGAGACTTTTAATGAAGGTGAAAGATGAGAGTGAGAAAGTTGGCTTAAAACTCAACATTCAGAAAACTAAGATCATGGCATCTGGTCCCATCACTTCATGGCAAATAGATGGGGAAGCAATGGGAACAGTGACAGACTTTATTTTGGGGGGCTCCAAAATCACTGCAGATGGTGACTGCAGCCATGAAATTAAAAGATGCTTGCCCACTGGAAGAAAAGCTATGACCAACCTAGACAGCATATTAAAAAGCAGAGACATTACTTTGCTGACAAAGGTCTGTTTAGTCAAACCTATGGTTTTTCCAGTGGTCATGTATGGATGTGATAGTTGGACCATAAAGAAAGCTGAGTGCTGAAGAACTGATGCTTTCGAACTGTGGTATTGGAGAAGACTCTTGAGAGTCCCTTGGACTGCTAGGAGATCCAACCAGTCCATCCTAAAGGAAATCAGTCCTGAATATTCATTGGAAGGACTGATGCTGAAGCTGAAGCTCCAATTTGGCCACCTGATGTGAAGAGGTGACTCAATGGAAAAGACCGTGATGCTGGGAAAGACTGAGGGCAAGAGGAGAAGGGGGCGACAGAGGATGAGATGGTTGAATGATATCATTGATTCAATGGGCATGAGTTGAGCAAACTCTGGGAGATTATGAAGGCCAGGGAAGGCTGGCGTGCTGCAGTCCATGGGATCACAGTCAGACACGACTGAGTGACTGAATAACAATTCTTAATTTCACTGCTAGTTCTTTCTTGTTACAAACATCTGTGACTGGGGACCATTCCTTCTGAACTAGACAATTAGGGAGGAGTGGACAGTATGAGCTGGGGCATCCGGTAGCTTGAGGAGGCAGGTCTGCTGCATCCTTCACCTTGTGGGCACTTGCCCTCTATGAACCAGGAGGACCTGCGGTGAAGTTCAAGTCACAAGTGACTTAATGTTCACAGACCCACTGGCTGCCCTGGTCAGCAGCCACAGAGCTGAGTGCCACGGTCATCCCTGGGGTCTTCCCAGGGACTGATCCCTCTTTCACTGAAATCCTCCCCATGGTGAGGTAAATCTTGAGAATTGTTTGGAATTCTGGGTGGACATGCTGCCTTCCCACGGAATAAGGACATACACAGCATAACAGCCCCAAAGATGTCCATGTTCTAATTCTCAGAACTTCTGGTTGTCATCTCCATGGCAAGAGGGACTTTGCATGGCGGATTTTTAACCACTGGACCACCAGGGAAGCCCCACTTGGTGGGATTTTGATTTGGATTGCATTGAATCAAGTTGGGGAAAACTGACATTGTGACAGTATTGAGTGTTTCCATCCATGAAGGATGTTCCTTGAGATGGAGCAATTGTCCTGGGTTATCTGCATGGGTCCAATGTCATCATAAGGGTCCTTATAAGAGGGAGGCAGGAGGGTCAGTCAGAGGAGGAGACATGATGATGGTGGCAGAAGTGAGAGACAGTGATATGAAGATGGTAAGCTGATGGCTTTGAGGATAGAGGAAGGGCCCATGCACCAAGAAATCCCGGTGCCCTCTAGGAACTGGGAAAGGAAGGGAACAGATTCATTCCTAAAGCCCCCAGAGAGAATGCAGGCTGGAAACCTCGATTTTAGGACGTCTGATGTCCAGAGCTATATGACAGGAAATTCCATTTTGTTCTTGGAAATTTGTTATAGCAGACACAAGGAACTCATATGGGCAGGTGCACCCAGTACCAGGCAGCCCAGGGAAGAGCTGGCTGTTGACAGCATCGTCCAGTCTGTCTCTGACTCCCCAGGGGCTCCTGACCCTGAACAAGGGTAACATGAGAAATGTCAAACAAGCAAATCTCTCACTAAAGCAGTTTGCACTGGGGTCTCCATTCATGGCAACTGAGTCCTAACCATATCCCCCAGCCTGGTCATAGGCCATCCCCTGCCAACCCCCCGCCCCAGTCGCGGGGTGCTGAGTGCTCCCACATCTTTGAGGTGGATGGGGCAGGACTCACATCCAAGGTGGTTTTCACTACAAACGGGACTGAGGACGTGGTCGGATATTATTTGTTTGTGGGTGGAAAGGCCCTGTGCCTCGCCCATGACCAGTGGCTCCATGCACAGGGTGGTGGGAGGAGGTCCAAAGGCCCTTCTCCTCAGGGCCCAAAGCTCAAAAGGAATATGTTGGAGAGGCAGGAAGCCGCAAGGGTGCAGGAAGGTGGGATCAGCACGGTGTCCAAAGCTCAGGTCAGGAAGGGGAGTCAGGAGCAGGCACAGCACCCAGGCCCCTCTGCCCCCCAAGACATCCAGGCACACAGAACGAGTCAGAACTAAAAAAAATATTTCATTTCATTCTGAATAAAAAATGGAACAGACAGAACTCTTGGAAATCCTGAAAACAATGTCATCGCTACAGCAGAATTTCACAGAAATCATGGCACAGGGCATGGGGGCTGAGCCTGGGCCCCGCCCGCTGTGGAGGCTGCCTCTCTGGGAGGGGCCGAGGGCCAAGAAGCCTGGGGGCCCAAGCGGGCAGGCACGATGGTGGCTGTGCCCCCGGGATGAGCCCGCCGGGTCCCCAGGATCCAGGCTCTGGGCCTGGCCTCCAGCTGCCAACACAGGCCAGCGGGTGGGGCTGGGAGGGGTCACTGGTCCTCAAGGGGCCTCCTTTCGGGCGGCCTTGCGGCTGCGCGTGCCCCACATCCCCCGCTTGGAGTGGAAGTGGTGGTAAAAGTTCCGCACTCGGAGTCGCTCCACCTCCAGCCCTGCCTGCAGGACCCTGGGGGTAGGGAGGGGTGGTCAGGGCTGCCCTGCAGCCTGGAGGGTCTTTGGGAGCGATCAAGACTGGGGATTGGGGGTGAATGGGGCTACCTGTATTCTGGACCCTGGCAGGGGAGGGCACGTGTGTCAGGGCTGCCCTTGAGCCTATAGAACCGTGGGGTGGGGTGGAATGGAAGAGGTCATAATCGGGTCCAGGGGCTGGATGTGGGGGGCTTCCACTACTGTAGGGCCCCACTGGGGCCAGGGGGACCCCAGGGCCATCACCAGGCCTATAGGATCTGGGGGCTTCCCTGAGTCTGCAGGACCCTGGAGCTGGGAAGGGGTTTAGGGGAATGGGGGGGCATCTAGAATCTCTCTAGGCCTATGGATCCTGGGGGTAGGAAGAGGAAGACAGCAGAGTCTTTTCAGCAGTGAGGACCCCGGGGCCCCTCCCCACCCAGAGGGCAGGACGTGGAGTCTGTCTCTGTGTGTTTGTGTGTGTGTGTGGGGTCACCTGTCCAGGAGCTCCCAGTCCTCGCCTCCCCACTGGTCCCGGAATTCCTCGGTGTTCATGCCTCCAATGCGGTCAAAGTCAGACTTGTAGATCCCAAAAAGGCCAAAGCCATTCACCTCCCAGTAACCTGGTGGGGAGGGGGTGCCCTTCAGACACCAGGTCCTGAAAGGCCTTATTTCAGGAGGGCTCTTGGGGTCAACTCCAACATGTTGGTCGTACTCGGGACCCTGGGCATGATTTGGGTGCTGGAGGAGATCCCTAGAGGCCAAGCATGACACTGGGGTTACTCCGGGGGTCTTGGGGTCCTGGGCACTGTGGAGTGGCACTCCAATGCCACAAGGAGTCCTGGGCATTACAGGGAACCCTGATGGGGCCCCAAGCCTACCTTGCGGGCTGGGAGGCCCCTGGGGAGCCTAGATTTCACCCTGGCATTGGTGGGACCCAGGGCCCTCCTGGGGGGCATCCAGGGCATTACCGTGCGGGTCTCCTGGTGAGCTCCCACAGCTCAGCCGCATGACCACAGGTGCGAAGGCCAGCTTGCCCTCCACGCAGTGCTTGCGGATGCCGTCTAGGATGCTGGGGGGGAAGTGGATGTGCAGGTCGCAGAGGAAAACGATGCTGCTGGCATCCTGGGGACAGCGGGGAGGTCTGAGCCTCACCCTCCACTCCGGAAGGGCGCGCCCACCCCAGCCCACCTGGCTTTTCTGGCCAGCCCCACCCTGCCCACGCACCTCCACCGCGTCCACTCCAGCTTGCAGCCCCGCAGAGCGCTCAAAGTTTCCAGCTCGCCTCAGGTATTGGTATCTGGGAGAGGGGACGAGCGGGTGGAATCACACACTGCGGTCTCTGGGAGTAGGGCGGGGGCAGGAAAACCCATCTTTGTTGGGGAGGAGGAAGGATTCGGTCCACCCTCCCCGAAAGGGGGTGGGGGCGCCGTTACCTGGGCAGCCGCGCTGCGCGGAGGGCCCGCTCCACGTCCATGTCCTCGCTCTCGAAGTCTACCAGGACGACACTGAAGCGGGAGTCACCTGTGCGGGCGTGCAGTGCGGCCATGTCTGCCAGGAACTGTATCACCCAGCGCGCCTGGTTTTTCACTGGGGGAGGATGGGGACACTGAACCCACCTGGACCCAAACTGGTGGCGCCGCCCGCCCCTCTGCAGCCCTAGGTGGCGCCGCCCGCCGCACCCCGCGCACCCGGCACGACGAAGTGCACCATCACATCCTGGCGCCAAGCCAGGCGCAGTGGCCGGCACAGCTCCGGGCGGCCGTCAGGGCGCGCGGAGGAGGCTGCGGCGGGCGCGGGACTCTCTCTGTCTTCCTCAGTGTCGCCGGCACGGGCCCCGGGCAGGCGCAGGAAGACGTACTCAGACAAGCGCAGGCGGCGCCCGCCGCGTTCCTGGAGCTCCAGTTCCAGGAGGAAGCGGCTCCCTCGCGCGGAGTCCCGGCGCTTCTCCACGTTCACGATGCGCAGAAGAGCGTATCGCCTGGGGGCGGAGCCCGGTCAGCCGCAGAGTGGAGGCCCCCCTCCCCTGTCCCCCATCGCCGCCACAGAAAGGCGGCCACTGAAGTGACTGGGGCGGGGGGGGGGGGGGGGGGGGGGGGGGTGGCTGCCATGCACCCCTCCCCCGCAGCGACCATGTGTCCCAGCCCCCACCCACCCATACCCCCTCAGGGCCAAGGCCTGAGGGGCACGCCATCTCAGAAGGCAGACCCACATTTCAGGCTTCCTCCTCCCCCGACACCCCACGAGGGAGGCATCCCCACGCCCAGGCCGTCCTCTCTCCTCCCTGCCACCACTGCTGTCCACAGCCACACGCTCAGAAACCTTCAGGGGGACCCACTGCCAACAGGACGGGACTCAGATGCCTTATTTCTAACTCAGGTGAATGGTCTCTTACTTGTCTCAGTATCTTGTCCCGCAGACAAGCAAGCTTCTTCTTCTGGGGGGAGGGCTCTGTCCCAGGTGCCCCTGCCTGGATGCTGGGCCCCATCCTCCCCACCTGCCGTCTCCAAGGTCCTAGATACCTCCTCTGAGAATCCTCCTTTTTGCCTCCCTGGCACAAGCCGAAGGGCTTCCCTGTTCTGGGAAGAAGCCTCTGGCCCTTCCCCTTCACTCCGGCCTGGAGCACCTCACCTCCACCTTCACTCCACCCACAAACAGTGGTTGCCCCTCCTCTTGGGGAGACAGGGCCCTGCGCTTGACTAGGTTGCTCTTTCTGCCATGTGATCCCCCTGCACAGCCGGTGTCACTCACCTGGGAGCCGACCAGTGTGACCTCCAGGGGTCTAAATTCTTCCCCTTGCCCCATGCCCATTCCCATCCCCACCACAGTCTCCTCAAGTGTCAGGGCCTTTCTGCCCCAAAGCTCTGGGTCTGTGCTTTCACTCCTGGGGCTACTCACACCCTCATTCTGCTCAGAGGATGGAGCTGCAGCCATGACCTTTCTGCTGGACAGGCCCTCATACCCTGGGACAATGAGCTGCTCTCAAGAGGCTCAGAGCTAAGGGCAGGCTGGCTTTTTCAGCCACCTAGAATCAATCTGCCCCCGCCTCTGCCGAGTCCAGGCCGTCCCATCACTGCCCTGGACCAAGCCTGTAGGTCACAGGCTCCACCTTCCACCCTCTCCTCTCCAAGGCTGCCACACCTTCATCTATGATCCAGATGGGCCAAACGCGTGTCCTGCTCTAAACTTTGTATCAGAGGCAAGAATGAGTCCTGAACTTGGCCTTAGATGCCCATGAGGCCTGTCCTCTGCCCACCAGCATCCTGGACAGCCTCTGCCTGTCACTCATGTCTGCAGGTCCTGCCCCTCCTTACGGGCTCAGCATATTTCTAAGAACCCCTCAGGGCAAACTGGGGTTTCCACTCTCCAGCCCCACACCTGCTTGAGGTGGAGACAGGATTCAGTTCCTGGGGCCTGGGGGACCCAACCAGAGGGGTCAATGGGGCAGGAACCCTGAGCTCACCTCTGAGGACTAAGACCCCAGTCAGCATGGTGCTGGTGGGGGGAGGGATCCTGGGGTTCTTTGCTTGATTGTGTGTCTATTTCAAGAAGAGACCTGGGTGGCTGAGGTTCATCCTCAGGTCCAAGGTGGCAGGTGGGGGGTTGGAGGTGCAGGACAGGGGAACCAGAGGGAGAGAAAACACTTTCTGACGGGTGTGCGTGCATGTGTGTACCACTCCCAGAGGAGTGCCTGGTGAGGCCTTGGGGAAGAGCTGAGGGTCCCACCGAGGCCACGCTCCGCGCCTCCCACCAGCCCGACCCGTACCCGCTGTGGCGCGTGTTGAGCCTCTCCATGTACTGAGCCACCACGTCCACGGCCTCGGCCTCGGGCAGCTGGAGGTTCCCAGACACGTTGCAGCGCAGATCGTTCCAATCAGAGCGCAGCAGCTCGAAGTCCACGGTGCCCACGCTGAACGTGCGCTGCCAGTCAATGGCATCCTCGTGCCAGCGGCCGTGCACCAGGCCTGCCGCCTCCTCGCTGTCCTCTGACGCGTCGCCTGGCACCCCTTCCTCGTCGTCGTCCCCTTCCTCCTCCTCGTCCTCCTCGCCCTCCCCAGGCAGCTGTGGCCTGGACACCTGGGACAAGCTCAGGAAGGAGGTCACAGGCTGCGCTTCAGAGGACGAGTTGGAGTCTGCCGTGGGGGCCGCGAGTCCCGGCGCGCGCGCCTGGCCCTCCTGGGTGGCCGGCGCTGGGGCTAGGGCTCTCAGCTCTGTGGCCGGGGGGCTGCTCGTCCTGTGGCCTCGAGCCCGGGGTGGGCGTGGGGGCGCCCGCAGCGGCACCCTGGGTAGGGGTCGGGGGCGCAGGAAGACGCCAGGCAAGGGCGGCCGGGGTGGGCCGCGTGCGCCGAGCGGCGGGGCCCCAGGGGGCGCCCGCAGTCCTGGCCGCACACGTGTCACATACACCTTGGAGGGCCGGGCTGCGGGCCGCGGGGGCGGGGCGCGGCCCAAGAAGAGGGGGAGCTGGCGGGCCGCCCAGCTCAGCGCCCGGGAGCGCCGGGATGTCAGCGCAGCGGGGGTGGCTGGGGCCTCTGAGGGGGCTGCGGGGGCCGGGAGCTGGCGGCTGCTCTGCCTTCGGGGGGCCTCGGTGGGCCCCAGGCCAGCATCAAGCAGCTCTCCGTCGTCCTCGTCATCCAGGAAGTCTGTGGGAAGCGCGCGTGAGCCACTGCAGGGCCACCCAGCTGGGCGTGGGGTCACTGTGGGCACTCACCGTGGGCACTCACCGTCGGGGTTGAGGAAGAGGAAGGCTCGGCGCTGCACCTCCTCCCTGCCCTCCTCCCGGTCCATCTTCATGTACTTGTAGAACCCAAACCTGGGGGGGCGGGGCGTCAGAGACCCGCTCGGTTGAGGCCCGCCCATTCTTCCCGGGCACCGCCCACCGGCCACCCACCTTTCCAGATACAGCGGCGACTCCCGGTAGAAGCACTTGTTGTCAGTCTCCATGTGAGTCAGGCGCGTGTGGTCATTGGGATAAACGAAGGACAGGTACACCTGGGGTGGGCAGAGGGCTCAGGGCGGGCCGTCTTTCAGAGGGTCTGGAGGAGGCTTCCAGGACCCTGGAGAGGGGGAGGCCTGGGTCTCAGGGAAGACCTTGGCTGGGGGCACTTACGAATTGCAGTCCCTGGTATCTTGCGATGGGAAAGTCCTTGACAACATAGGTTGGGGCATAGGCGCAGGGCTCCAGCACACTCTCCAGATCCGAGGGCTCCACCCGAGGTGCTGTGAAAAGGGAGGTCACACTGTGATCCGGACCCTCGCCTTGACACTCCCTCCACCCTGTGGGTGAACCCCCTCACTGAGAAAGAAGGCGTCTCGGGGATCTGGCCGCAGCATGTCAGCTCTGGGCTCCTCCTGCCGGGGCCGCCCCCCCACATGACTGGCAGGAGACTGGGGCACGTGAGCCACGTGGTCCATCTTCAGGGCTGACTCGTCTAGGGGCAGAGGATGTGTGAGGTCCCCAAGGAGTTCACAGAGCCCTCCTCACCCACATCCAGCCACCCCGGAGACCACTCGTATGAGCCTCCCCTTCCCCAGAGGAACTGGCTCCAGACCTGTGTAGAGGGAGATGTGAGCAGAGCCGATAACCTCAAACTTCAGACCCGGCAGGAATGTTCGCCACTGGGGGTTGGAGAGGGTGGTCAGGGCCAAAGGAAGGGGGTGCGGGGGACACCCTGGGTCAGGGAGGAGTGGATCTTCCTGGCATGGGGACAGGGAGCTAGTAGGGTAATGCCTTTAAGGATGCAGAAAGCTGGGCGGGTGGACGGGAGAGGAGTCCTAAGAAGGCATGGCAGGGAAGCTGCTGAGGCCCGGAAGGTTGGGGTCCCTGGAGGAAGATGAGAACCTCCTCTGCCCCCTTCAGGCCTTTCCTGACACCTTGGGCGCTTCTTCATCTTCTGGTTATGACCTCCGCCCCCACCTGCTCGTGATTCTATGGCCACTGCCATTCTGGAAGTCAGAGCTGGCCTTCCGAGGGCAAGCCCCAGTGGCTCCCAGCTCCCTGGTGGACCTCCCCATCCCCACTTCTCCTGCTTCTGTGCCTGTGCGTCTCAGTCTCCCTTGTAGACTGTCTCTCCCCCATCCCTCTCACGCTGGGTTCCTGGGGGCTGTCCCAGGCCCTCTTACCTTCCCAGCTCATCCTGGGCCCTTAGTCACCCCCTCAGCTTCCACAAGATCACCTCAAATCTGCATCTCCAATCTACACCCTCTGCCAAGCTGAGTTGGGGTGATGCCCTCCACACACAAACCAGACACCTGTAACATCCCCCCACCAGCCCTCCCTGGTCACCACCCCACATCCAGCTAAACTCGGGCTCAGGCAGTGGGCATCTCCCCCTGCCCCCACAGGACCTGCGGGTTCAGGGACTGATGGTCACCTGTGAAAATCTTTCCCAACAGGCAGTGGCTAGAGGGTTTTCCCTGACATGCAAATCCCATTGCCTCATTCTCAGGAGGAAGCCCTGCCTGATCTAGCCACCAGACTGCTTGGAGTTCCAGAAGACTGTTCTTGAGACCAGAAATTCGTCCTCGTGCCCTGGATTCTCTCCCCATGGGTCTCCCTATGAGCCTCTCAAGAATCTGCTCAGGGCCACTTTCTCTGTGAAGCCCCTGAGCAGGCGCAGTGGAGCACAAGTCCCGTCCCTGGGCAGCTCCTTTGTCAGCTAGATGGGAAATCCTGGGGAGGGGGGCACATCCACGCGGCTGTTCTGGGGGGGGGGGGGGGGGGGGGGGGGGGGGGGGGGGGGGGGGGGGGGGGGGGGGGGCCTCCAGAAGCCCCTCGAGGGGCAGCTGTACTCACACCCACTTCCACGTGGTCCGAGCCGCGGTCATCCTGCTTGTGCAGCAGCTCAAAGTAGTACCTCCGAGAGGCCATGAGCCTGGGGACAGGAGGAGTCAGGGGCCAGCCCACCGCGCCCCAGGAGCCCCCGAGAGACGACAAGTTCCAGGGCCGGCAGCAGTTTCATGTGTGCACGCGTCACCCTGTCCTCACACACAGACACACACCTGCTCCCAGGCACTCACCGTCTGGGCTTGGACACCTGGGAGCTGAACTTGGTGAACTCTCCAGGCGCTGTCCACTCTGAGCCCGTCTGGAGGGCAACAGGAAAGGGCAGGGGGCTCACCCTCTCCTTGGGGCACCAGCCCCACCCAGTGCCCCTTCCTGAGAAGTTGAAGGGGACAGGTGACCCAGGCCACAGGAGGCCTGTGAAGACAGAAGGGGTGTGGACAGAGGGGCGGGTGGGGATACCTTGCCCACAAAGGCCACCAGCTGGGCACCTGCTGGGCTCTCGTTTGGGCTCAGCCAGAACTCAGAGTTGTCATCCGAAGCCACAGAGAACTGGACATCGCCTAGGCCGTGAGACAGGGCTCAGGGCCGGGCGGGGCGCTTGCGACTCCCCCCCCACGCCCCCACCCCCGCACCATCTCTCGCCGGGTGGATGAAGCCGAACAGCCGGAGGCCGTAGTTCTTCCACTTGGGGGACACAGCCAGCTTCTTCACGGTGGTGCGAGTCTGGGGGGACAGCGGCTGCTGACGTCAAGGTACCTGCCCACCCCCGCCCACCCGGGACCCGTGGCCCCCCAGCACTCACGTGAGGGAAGAGCGGGAAGTGCAGGTTCCTCCGGAGCTGGCCCACGGCGCCCCCGCACCAGTCCTCAAACACGTGCAGGTTCACCTGCCCCTTGTACTGTGGGGGAGCAGGGCTTACTGGCCGCCCAGTGGCCCCGGCCCTCCCTGCCCGAGCCCCAGCAGACCTCACCTCCTCCCGCCACGCCGGCACTTGACGGGTGAGGTTGAGTACCAGGGGTCTTCCAGCCCCCCCAGGAAACAGCATGCCTGGGTCCTGACCTTCAGACTGCGGGAGAGGAAGGGCACCAAGGTCACAGCTGAGAAGTGTGAGGGCAGGAAAAAGTCACACACACACACACACACGGGCTCAGATGCAGTGCGTGACACAGCCAGCCACACAGTCCAGTTCCCGTCACACGGCCCCCCACATCTAGCCATGAAGCCCTGAATCCATCACAGCCCAGCCACACGCACACCAGAAGCCCCCTGGCCACCCCGCGTGCAGCATCTGCGTCCCCCGGGCCTGGGCACATAAGTGGCTGCATCCCCCACCCACGGCCGCGGCACATGGTGGCCTTGGGTCCCGTTCGTGTGGCTGTGTGGTTCCCCACAGCCCTGCTCACCACCGGCTCCTCCTCGCGGCTCTCACTGGAGTCCTCTGCCCTCTGTGTGGCCAGTGCGGCACGGATGCCTCGGCCGTCAGTCACACTCAGCTTCTCACCGTCTGTGGGTGGCAGAGCGGCTGTGGGTGGGACCCAGGCTCTTCAAGGCCACAGTCCCTGCTGCCGGGGTCAGTTGGGGGCAGGACGGCCAGTGGTGTCCCCTTTGAAGCCTCCCCTCATGTTGCCTGATAGCTGCCCCCCCCTCCCCCAGCGAAGCGCCTTCTACTGGGCTGTTCTCCCACCTCCCGCCTCTGTGGGGTTGGCCCTGCCTGAGTCCTCCACCTGACTTTTCCCAGCCCCCACTGGTGTGAGGGAGCAGGTATGTGTGTGCACATCCTAGCAGACATGTGTGCACATGTACACCGATCGGGTGTCCTCCTCAGCGACTCTGCCTCCAGGAAGGCCCCAGGACTGCTCTGTGCCCTCAGCATATTTCCCATGAGCTGGAGTGTTTTGTGTCTGCCTCACTTGCCAGGAGTGAGAGCCAAGCGTTAGTGCTGTAGTTTGTCATCAGGCAAGCCAGCGCTGTGGTCTTGAGGCTACACCAGCCCTGGCCCATGGTACATGTGCTACCTGCTGCCCTTGAGGCCATGGTCCCAGACCAAAGGAGCCCTGGCACCTGCCTGGGCAGAGGAGGGACTGGCACGCTGGTCTGGCTGTCAGGGTCTCTGGGGTCAAGGTGGCCCTGGGGGGAGACTGTCCCCGGGATCACTTCTGTGGACTTCTCAGAACGTGGCACACCCCAACCCCCCAAGCCTGGGCAGACCACCTGCATACCTCAATGCCCTCAACGTCCCAGACCTCCTCCTCACGCTGTGGATCTGGGGGTCCCATACCCTGGGGTCTTAGCCACTGAAGGTGAGGCTTCACTGTCCCATCCAGGGACCCCCAGTCCAGGAACCCGTCTGCTCCAGGGCCAAGTCTGGCTTCAACATCCATGCCCGCACTTCAATCCAGACCCCAGGAGCGAGAGTACCATACTGACGCAGCAGGCCTGGGCCCCTTCTCTGGGGGAGAGGGGCTGCCCATGGTCTCCTGCCTGTGAGAGCCCAGTGGTGCCTGTCCGCTTTGCTCTCCCCAGTCACTGTCCTTTGTCCGGCTGGGAGCTGAGCCCCTAAGAGGCTCCGGGCAAAACCGCCACAGCCTGGCCCCGATGCTCCCCACCCGCCAAGGTGACTCTATGACTGCTGGAAAACTTCTGTGGGGGGTGCCACACCCAGGCTGCCACTACAGTCCTGCAGGCAAACAAAACACTCCAGCACCTGGGAAATATGCTGAGCCCAAGCGCAGTGAGATCCAGATGGCGGCCTGCCGGCCCCTCTGCCCAGGACCTCTGCCCTCACAGGCTGCTGGACACGGGGCAGGTAGCCTTTCTGGTGGGAGTGAAGACAGTGCTGACGGGACAGTCAGGAAGGCATCAGACACGTTTAGCTGCTCAGCTTCCACAAGCCCTGCCCTGGTGGAGCCAGGTCGCCAGGCAGGAGGCGGAGCTGCCGCCGGAGGCGAGACCCGCCGGCTGGGGCTGCTCCTGGCTGGAGCTGCACGAGGGTTTGATGGTCTGTAACCTTGAACAGCTCCTGCCCACTCAGAAACAGCAGGACGGCTTCCCCGCTGGTCCAGCTGAGAGAAGAGGAGGCCTCAGAAATGGGGTTCCCACACCTCCACCCCCTCCTAGCTGCTGAGTTAGGCTCCCTGGCTGCTCGGGAAGTCAGGTTGGGGAGGACTGTGGTTGCTCAGAAAACCACAAGGCCGCTGGGTAGGAGGCTGGTTCTGTTCTGTGTCACTGGGTCACACTCTGGGGTCCTGCCTTATGTGATGGTAACTGAGGGCCCCTAGAGGATGTGGTAGCTCCAAGATGTGTGCTCTTTGGGGAAGGGTAGGTTGGGACCAGCCTCTGACCCCTGGCCTAGGTGTGGGACTGAACAGGGAGCTTTAGACCCTTTGGTGGGAGTGGCCAGGACTTTATGGATCAAAATCATAATTCTGAGTCCTCGGGAAGCGAGATTCGCATCACTCACCCTAAAGACACCCCACTTGTTTGAGAAGGGTCAGGGGCAGCTTGGCTGGGACCTTCCCTGCCCTGAAGTGCTTCCTGCTCTCATCACCAACCTCCCCACCCGCCGCCCTGTTCTAGGCATTCTGCTCCTCCTCCCCAAAATATGTGTCAACGGTCACCCCTTCCAAGAGCCCTTCCAAGATACCCTAGCTAAGGTGGCAGGACTCCTCCCCTGGCCCTCCCCCACATCACTCACCAGGACCTGATTTGTGGGTTCATTGTCTGTTCCCACTGGACCGTGGGCCTGAGTCTGGGAGCGTCCGCTCCAGGCATTCCGGGCTCCCCAGGCTGCACCCCTGTCCCCATGACTCACTCCCAACACACAAGCGTCTCAGTCCCTGATTACAGGTTTACCTAGGGCGCCTCCTCCAGGAAGCTTTCCGACTGCGAGGGTCAGCTCCCCCCGCCAGCCTCTTCCCCAGCAGACTGGGAAACGGAGGCTCTGCTAAGCACGAAGAGTCGGAGGCGCAGCCGGACTTGGCCCCAAGAAATCCCAGCAGGCAGGGCCTGGTAGCCGAGGGCTCTCCAAGACCACTGCTACCCCGGCGCTATCCGCCCCGGGCCAGAGCCCGGAGTCAGCCCGGCTTTGGGGACGCTCAAGAGGGTCGCGTACATCACGGTTGACGTCATCCGGCGTTCCGGCCGGGTCGAGCCGAACCGAGCCCCCTGCCCCGATACTGCCGAGATGGGAAAGGCGGCCCGGGTGTCCCGGCAGCTCTGGCCCGCGGCGAGACCTGAGCTTCGGCCGCTCGGGCTCCAAGCTCCCGGGGGCCGCGGCGGGCCGCAGCAGCATCCACGCTGCGGTGCTACCCACCGTGAAACGGGCCCGGCCGCCGCGCCGCGCGAGCCAATCCCGGCCCGACCGGCCTGCGGGGAGCCAATCCGCGGCGCGGGAGGCGGGGCCAGAGGTTAGGGTGTGCCCGCCGCTGGTCTCCACGCAACGCGCGCATCCACCTGGGTGAGAAGGCCCGCGCTGCGCGGGGACGCGGGGTCCCGGGAATGCGGAGGACCCGGGAGGTGGACCGGGAGGCGCGCGGGGCTGGAGCCAGGGGTCAAAGGTCAGAGAATGCACGGGGCGCGGGGTAGTGCATAGGACCGGGGGACGCGGGGCACGCGAAGTGCTGGGGACAGGGACTGGGGTCACAGGGTGGAGGCCGCGGGAGGAGCCGGCTATGGATCAGGGGACAAAGGCGACACGGGGACAAGGCTGTAGGGAGTCGTGATGGGGAGACAGTGCGAGCCTGTGGAACGAAGGGGAGAGATGTGGCCAGCTCGGGCTTGCAGCTTGAGCCTCCTGTTAACAATGCAGCTAGGAGGAATGGGGCTCAGACGTCGTGGAGGGAAGAAAAAGGAAGTCTGGGGGAGAGACACGGGGGTGGGGGGGAATAGGTGATGGTGGTGGGTCAGGGCAGCTGGGACGGCTGTGGGTGCACAGGCTCCATGCAGGCAAGACTGAGCAGGGTCTCAAAACACCTGGCTTCACACTGAGTGAGGGGCATGAGGAGCTACCAAAGGACTTAGTTTGGAGGCCAGGGCCTGGCCTGGCCATCAGGTGGACACGGGCAGCAGACTCGAGGTGGTGGGCTCCACTGAGGGCAGAGTAAGGTGGGGAGGAGGAGCCCAGGCAGGAGAGGCAGGGCTGCCTGAAAGCGGGTAGGAGGGAAGCCAGCTCTCCTGTTTCTGACTGGGTGTGGCTCTTGCTGAGCTGGAGGTGGGAGGAGGGTGTGGGCTGATGCTGAACTTTGCCCCATTTGGTTCCCATTCCTGCCCTGGCCACCGCCACCCCTGCCTGCCCTGTCCCCACTACCCCTGCCTTGCTGCCATCCTGACTCTTCTCTCTGCCCCTCCATCTGTTCCACTTTTCTGTTATTGTGTAACCAGCCGGCCCAGCATCAGGGTTGTAAAACAACTGTTGGTTAAGCTCCTGGAGTTCCTGGTTTGAGAGTTAGACGTGGCCTCACAGGACAGCTCTCCTCTGCTCCAGGATGTCTCAGGCCTCAAGTGGGAAGATGTGGCCAGCTGGGGGTGACTCTGGTGGCTGGGCTGGGGTCATCTGAAGACTTCTGCACCCTCATGTCAGGGCCTTGGCAGGGTCAGCTGGGCTTGGCTGGGATGGTTAACCAGAGTGCCTGGGGGTGGCCACTCGGGGTGGTGGCCTCTGGGCTCCAGCAAATGGGGCAACACACCTGGAGAATCCCCGCACACCAATCCTGCCCCTGCTGTCGTGGGCCCCCCAGGCTCCAGTGGAGGAGATGTGGACCCCCCTCATCTTGGGAAGGTTGTCCAGGGAGGTGCAGTCTTAACACTGCTACACTATCCTTATCCCCCTTTTATTTTAACCTCAGGGCCGTTTTCCATCATTCTGTCTTCTGTCCTGTGAACAATGCCCACATCTCGTCAAACCTTCCCCCACCCCATTCTTGTCCCTCCCCTCCAGTCCACTTTCCACGCCCATGTTATCTGAACTTTCATTATGGTATACGTCAAACTGTGTGTATTTCAAGCATTGTATCAATAGCTTTGTGCTGTAAATCTCATTGTTTCCTGTGTCTTCTCCAAACGCACGTCTCCGTGCTGTCCATGTGCGATGCCTTCCCTGTGCTCCCAGTCCTCCCTCATGCCCACTCGGCCAACAGATGCCCGGGGTCCTTACGAGCCAGAGGCTTTAGGGGCACAGCTGTGAACACGGCAGATACAGCCCCTCCTTTTGTGGAGTTTCTGTTTTCCTAGGCAGAGGCACATGTGAGCAAGAATGCTGGGAAATGCTGTGAAGACAATAAACGAGCTGATGGCCTGGGGAGACTGAGGAAGGGTTTCTTCCATCGGAGTGACCACTAGGGGCTCGCTGTTTGGGGAAGTGACGTTGGCTCTGAAGCATAAATGCAGTCTTTAAAAACCAAGCACCAGAAAGTAGATGCCAGGAGGGAAGAGCTGGGGATGCTACTGCCTGGGAAGGCCCAGGAGGGCTCCCAGTTCGGCCTGGAGGGCAGCAGGTGTGTGAAGGGCAGCGGGCAGAGGTGGGCGAGAAGGCAGCCGGTGTCTGCCGGACATGGCTGCTCTGTTGGAGACCACGCATGGCCACAGCAGCCCTTCAGAGAGGGGCAGCCACTGCCCACTCCTGCCTTTCCAGCTTCACACGAGTTCCTCTCTTGCTCAGCTCTGACCTGAACCATATGGGGAAGGGGGTCCTGGGAAATGGATTCCTAGCTGAACAATAGATCACCCAGCAGAGGCTCTTCAGCAACTCTGCATACACACGTCTACTTTAAACCATGCTTAACTTCCAAATAAAAACAGGCAAAATCACGCTTCTGCTTAACGTGATGCACATCTCTGGCCAAAAAGAGGTGGAGGGATGTCTCACATCGCTGGCTCCATCTCTGGGTGGTGCTGACTCCAACTGAATCTCCACACCCTCCTGCAGGGGATCTCCCCCGCCCAGGGATCAAACTCATGTCTCCTGGGTCTCCTGCATTGACAGGTGGATTCTTTATCATTAGCGACACCTGGGGACCCCAACTGAATAACACATTCTCTTTAAGAATGTTGAACACTTGAGCACTCTCAGAGTGTGTTGAGTGTTAGTAACACAAACACCAAGATGTAAGGTCAACTATTGTTAACATAAGTTAGACAGAGGTGAAAAAGAAAGTGAGAGTGTTAGTCGCTCTGTCATGTCTGACTCTTTGTGACCCCACGGACTGTAGCCCACGAGGCTCCTCTGTCCATGGAATTCTCTAGGCAAGACTACTGGAGTGGATTGCCATCCCCTTCTGCAGGGGATCTTCCCGACACAGGGGCTGAACCTGGGTCTCCGTCTTTGCAGGCAGATTCTTTACCGTCTGAGCCCAAGGGAAGGCCTGGTGGGGGGAGTGGAAAAAGG